TGCCCGATGCTCGGTGCTCGATGAATCCTAGTGGCGCGGCCGGCCGGCGGGGCGCCATGGGCGCAGTAATGGGCATGCGCGTGCGCCGATTTGAATTTGTGATGCCGGAGGCCTGGGGCGCCTCGGCGTGCCGTGGCGTGGCGTGGCGCGGCGTGCGGCCCTAAGTATGGGGTGGAAGCGTGGCGCCGAGGCACGCGCTGCGTTGCGAAAGAGGGAGGCTTGGACCCCACATGAGCCCCAGCCTCCTCAGCCGTCCCAGCGACGCGGCAAGACGTTCTCGTGCTTCACTGTAAAGTCCCAAGCACCGCAGCGCCATCTGACGGACGCTTGTCGATCGTTGGAAATCAATCCCGCCGTCCGAACGCACAATTCGGACGAAACTACTCCTTTCTTCGGGTGTCGTGGGCTCTCACTCGCCGCCTTCGATCCCATCGATCACCCTGAGTCGACCCTATCGACGGTGGCGACCGCGGCCTGGCGCGGGACGTACTCGCGAGGAACGCTCCGAGGCAGAGGGAAGGCTGTGATTGCAGAAGAAGCGCCGAAACGCCCTGAGAAATGCTCTCATTCGGCCACCACGGCCAGGGCGCCTGGCAGGTAGGCAGTCCCGTCGAGCTCCGGAGCGACCGGCTGCCTACCCGGCGTTCGTCAGGCGCCATGGCCTGACAAGGGCACGGCGGCACGGCGGTACGGCAGTCCGGTTCCGCTCCGTGCCGCCCTCCTCATCCTCCCCCCTCCCCCCTCCCCGCGGACGCCGTTCGGCCGATCCAGATAAATCAAGCGCGGGAAAAAGCGCGACAGTGCCGTAATAGAAACGAAGAGGAGCGCGCTGCCATGCCACGACTATGCGCTCGGCCGCTCGGCGCGGACGAACGCGTCGTCGAGGGCCGGCAGGGCGGGCAGGGCAGGGCCGCGGCCTCTAGCGCGGAGGCCCGCTGGACGAGGGACGAGGGCCCCGCCACGCCACGCCCAGGCCACCGCCACCTTTGATATGCAGCCAACCGGTCGGATAGCATTTTTCCATCGACGAAAAACGGCGGGCCAAGCAGGGCGGCCCGTCCCACTAAAGTCGCGCGTGCGTGTGTGTGCGTGTATGTGTGTGCGTGAGCGCGTGTGGTTCAACCCGCCACGTTTTTCTCGATTGTACTTTCAGTTTACTTTCTCCGTACGTTGTTTATATTTTTTTTGCATACCACCGCTTGTGTGGCGCATTCTTTCCCCTGCCGCGGTGTTGATCCTTCTGATTGGCTGGGCCGGCCGGCGCTGGGCTACCTCGGCGTGCTATGCCGCGAGGCTGCGAGGCTGCCCGCCGGGTGAAAGGGTGGACGGGACGGCTCGCTGCAGGGCCTTGACCTTCGCGGCGCGGGTCGCAGGTCGCGGGAGGAGGCCGCCGTCGTGCGGAACTCGGACGCACCCTCGTGACGTCATCACCGTCGTCGCCGTCGTCGCGGTGCTCCCGAGGGCGTCGCCCTGCGAAGTAACGAGGCCGACGAATGGCCGCGCCCTACATGACGGAGGGGCGGCGCACGGCGCGCAAGGACGACCAGCTCCAAGGCGCGCACCTGTCGGCGGCGCCACGCCGCGCCACCATTAGAGCGGATATCTGCATGGCGATCGGGAAGGCTAGCCGGCCTGGCGGCTGATTCCGACCGCTCACGTCGCTCTGTCTCTCTCGCGGGCACCCCGTAGGTGTGCGAGGGAGACAGAGCGAATCGCAGCGCAGGCATTCCGGCGCGCGCCGCCACGCCGCCAGCATCAGCGGCCAGATTCACGCCTCGCCGTCCGAAGGCCTCGCTGGAGGCGACGCGGGTTCAAATCCCGGCTGGTTCAGGCTCCAGGTTCCAGGGGGCGTTCCTTTCCGACCCCGCCTGTCTCTAGGTTATTAATCGCCCGACCCCGATTGGTCAGCAGGTGGCGAGCTTTGGCCTAAGCCATTAGCAGTGTTCGGTGGCCACGCGGCGCCGCGGGTTCGAGACTCGGCGATCACGGCGCGGGGCGGGGCGGGGAGCTGCCGGATACGTCCTGGATGGGACTCTATGGTGTACCGGCCCGACGCGACGCATCCACGCTTGCTATTCACTGGGCTTGCCGTCGGCTTGCCGTCGCGGCTTCCCGCTGGACGGGCGGAGTAGCGGTTCCCTCGGCCGTGCCGGCCGTGCCACTCAGATCCCCTGCCCCTCCCCTTCCACCGTCCACTCCGCGATGGACTGCACCGGCCGGCTTGTTGCATTCCTCGGCGCGGCGGGGCGGGGCGGGGCGGGGCGGGGCACGCACAGCGAGCAGCCCCAGCATTGCAGCGTCGCCGCGGTCTTAGTTTCGGCAGCTCCTCCTCAACGCGGACGAGGGCGCCTCCGCGGTGCCCGCCACGCTGACACCACGGCACCAGGCTGCCCAGTGGTGCTGGAGGCTGGAGGAATGCCGCCGCCGTTGCAGCAGTGCGTCGCCGAGCGTGGCAGTGGCGTGGCAGTGGCGTGGCAGTGCACTGATAGAAAAGATGCTGTTAATTAACAGCATATATCCTGTTAAGTTTTTTAGCAACACTTGTTGTAGAAGAACGGCATATTGTTGGACACTGAGTCGTTATCCAACAGCAGTGTTGTAAAAAGGGATGATGGCTCTCTGTATCTGATCTCTGTCAATAAGTTGTTGTGTAACAGAATTACCATTTCCAAATGGCACCAACCTGTTCATAAACAACACTTTTCTGTTTTCAAACAAAAAAGTTGTTATACATTTACAAAAAAAATGTCGAGGGTCCTAATAGTCTTATCCAATACTAGCAGTCATTCAGAAACGCTCTTTTCTGTTTACAAACAGCACTGTTCTTCAACGCGGTCTCTCTGTTATTCACAAAAAGGAAATAGGAGTTTCCTGACGGCTCAAACAAGACATTTGTTTTGTAACAGTTCGTGCAGTTCTTGGACAGTTCACCGCTGTTTAAAAATTGGAAGTGTTGCTAAAAAACTTTACAACACAAATGCTGTTTAGAAACAACAGAATTTATTTTGACATAGTTGGAGTTTGATTTGAGCCGTGAGCTGCAAAATGCTCCGGCAAATCTTCAATTGAATGGTGTTGTTTTTAAATGACAGGATACCGTTCCAAAACAGCATATATCATTAATTTTACAAACAAGATGTTCTGTTTTCCAGCATTGGAAATCGACTATATTTGTTGTTTTCTCCAATGATGAAACTTGCTGTTTCCTAACAGCATTTGTGCTGTTTTAAATTCCGATGACACGTGCTGCTTAAAAGCAAATCACTCGTTGGTAAATGTGCTGTTTTCCTACAGTTTCTTTTAACAGTGTGGCTCGGAGGCCTTTGTGTTGAGAGCCAAAGCAAATAATGATGGTAGTACTGGCGGTATGGACCAGGCGGCCGAGCGGGTCCAGCTCAGAAGGCGCCTCCATTCGAGCATGACGCCGACCATCGCTCTGGAGTCCGGAGGCCCTGGAGGCCCTGGAGGCCGCGGAAGGCACGGTCCCGGGGGGCGCGTCCCGCCGCGCGTCCCGCAGCCGGACCGCTGTCTGGTCAAGCGAGTGCCTGAGGCTGCTGGCCCCGGGCGAGGCGGAGATTCCGGCAGAGTCGCGGCGTCGGCGTTCCAGCGCGCAGCGCTCCAGCGAGCGTTCCAGCAACACGCCCCCAGCGACAGCGAGGGCAGCAGGCGCAGCAGGCCCGCGCACAGTGGGCCAGAAGAAGACCGGTGGAGGCAGCCAAAACTCTAGACGCGTTTTGAGCTCCAGAGTCGCTAAACGGGACTCGAACCGAACGTGTGACCCCACCAATGGATAGCTATCCGAACGAGCAATCCATTGGTGGGGTCACACGTTCGGTTCGAGGCCTGTTTAGCGACACTGGAGCTCAAAACGCGTCTAGAGTTTTGGCCGCCTCCACCCGTCTTCTAGCTCACTGTGCCGCGGCGAATCGGCAGCCCTGGCCTGGCCCTGCTCACGGATGGCACGATCAACTTGCACTCGGCCGCAGTATCGCTGAGCCGCCCGTGTCGCAACACGCGGTGCATTGTTTGCCGACGACAATGACGCCGGTGGCGACCGGTGGCGTACGTCTCTGGAGGACGTCATCCTGCACGCCGTCCTCTTCCCTAGCATCCCACACCCACGCCGTCAGCGCCATTCTTTATTGTCGCACGGCAGCGCAAGCCAGCCAGCCAGCGAGCACGCGTCTGGCTCCACGCACGTGCATGCACGTTCGCGTTGCCAACCGCTAAAAAACACCTTTCAAAATTAATCAAAGGCCTGACCTTTCCTCGGTGCGTGAAGCAGTGGTGCGGCGGGTACACTGTTGCGCAGTGTCATCGTCCCTCCGTTTCAAGTTCGCCGACTAGACAAATTTGCATGGAGGGGCTTTTGACGAACGAGGCGGCGCGACCACAGACGTGGCAGCGACGAGCAGGCTGGACAACTTGGCCGGACTCGGCTCGGCACGGCACGGCACGGCACGGCACGGCACGGCTCGCAAAACACGCGTAGCCACCTTTTGCCTTTTCGAGAGACGCTAGAGAGGTGAAGTCGAGGAGTCGATAACCCTGTTGGAGCGAGGAAAATAACCCCGCCGAATCCCGCCAAGTACGAGTGGAGCGAATGCTCGTTGACACGCATTATGAGATTCATTACAATTCCGTCGGTCAAAGTACCAATATTTTTTTTTTTTTTTTTTAATCCAATATTTGACAATGATCGGCTCCCACATGAAACCGCGTAGAGAAGGCACCGAACGCTCCGCAAAAAGCGTTCCTGTCCCTAAGCGCCGCACCTCGTCCTTCCGTTCGTCCACCTCTGCCCCGCCCCTCGCCCCGCCCCGCCGCGCCCCGCCCCAACGCACTCGCGCTATCGCATACGGCCCCGGTAATGAGGGCACGGCGGGGCGACCAAAGTCACGGCGCAGCAGTGACAGAAACTACAAAGACAACAGCGACCAACAACAACAAAAAACAGCGACTCGTGCGCAGTGATCTTGACGTGTTGCGTCTTGTTGCAGGTCGCGTACGTGATCGCCTTCGCCGTGGAGCTGTGGTGGATCGTCGAGTCGGAGGGTAAGGAGGCGCGTTGTCGTCGTCGTCGTCGTCCGGTCCCCGCGGCCCGGCAATGACGGCCATGCCGACCTAAAGCTTTTTCCCGTTCCGTTCCAGGCGGCCTCCCCGCCCCGGCCCACCTGCTCTGCGCCGGCTACTTCGTTAGTTTGGTGCTGTGCGCCGTCCTGCTGCACGGGCTCACTGTCGTAAGTTCTCTCATTTGGACACTATTTTTTCCTGGTGCCGCCGCGGTCCCCTGGTCCGTTAGGCGCGCGCGCTGCGGGTGGCCGAGTGGCAGGCGCTCTCAACGAGGTGGCGGTTTGGTTTGCCTTGCAGCGGAGGAGCATCTGCCTGGTGGTGTGGCTCGTCGGGGTGGCGGCGCTCGCGCTACCCGAGGCGGGCATGGTGCTGTACATGGCGCTGCAGTACTGGGTGAGTCTTCGTTTCAAAGAAAATAAGAAAGCAAGTTAACAAGCTCCGTGACAAAAACATCGGTTTCATTTGGGTTTTTGCTTCGTTTCAGAGACTCCAATCGCTGTACGGCCTGACTGAGATCACCTGTTGGGCCTGCAGGCTATTTATTAATGTGAGTGTGCTGTGCATAAACGCAGCCAGCTGATTTCGACTTTCGGTTCCTCGCTGACTCCGTCACATTGATTTTTGTTTTGTTTTCTGTGCAGGTTGCCGGCGTGGTGAGTGTTCAGTCCCTGTACTCGTCGTGGAGGGAGGAGTCCGAGGTGATGCGGCGGCTGCGGGACCTCAACATGGTGAGCCACTCCATCTAGAGGCGCCCAGAGCCTCTGCCCGCCTCTGCTAACATTGCCATTATTGCGAGGGCACATTGTTCCTGACCGACCCCCCGCACTTTGCAGTCCAGCACTATGTCGAACGGGCGGCGCGGCTCCGTGGCGTCCAGCAACGGCGTGGTGCCGAACCACGGCATGCTGGGGCTGGCGTACCAGAACGAGGGCTTCGTGGGCTCCATGAGCCAGCTCAACGGCAAGCCCGCGGGGGGCACGTACGCGGTGCCGCTGCAGCCCCTGCACGCCACCAAACTCAAGAGGTGAGCCCTCCTCGCTTCGTAGCGGCTCTGCTTCTGTGCGGCCATTTACAGTGCGGTGCGTTCTCATGACTTCCAGGTCGGCGTCGTCGGCGTCCCGGCGCTCCACCGCGTCGGCCATGAGCCTCCCCGCCATGTCGATGTCGCCGCTGGGCGGCTACGTCGGCGACGGCTCCGTGTACGGCTACCCCGTGGGACCCCACCTGGGCCACGCCGTCCCCGCCATGCCCGCCGTGGGGCACCCACTGCTGCCGCCGCCCGGGCCACTGCACCGCACCGACTCAACGAGCGAGTTCAACGCGGCCGCCTTCGACGGCATGCTCGCGGCGTCGCTCCGCTCCGGCCCCGTGTCCCCCGGCGGGGACGTCGTCGACGGCCCTGGGGTCGCCCCCGGCCGCGCGGCGCGCCTCAGCAAGGCGCAGTCCCTCGTGGACCTGAGCAGGGCGGGGTCGTCCTCGAGGCTCGGGGACTACTGGCGCGTAGAGTCGGTGACGGCGCCCTCGCGGCCCGTGGCCTACATGGTGCCGTCTACGCGGAGCCTGGACCGGCGGCCACACCGGCCGCGCCGCGCCGTGTCCATGGCCGACCTCGGCGTCCACGTCCACGGGCCGCCCTTCGTGCACGCCGGGCCCGTGGGCCACATGGTGGCGCACCCACTGTACTTCAGGGACGCCTACGGCAGGGACTTCCTGTACCCCTCGCCCTACGTGCACCCGAGCATGCTGTACCGCGGCGCCACCAGCAAGACGTCCCTGGGCGCCGCGTCCGACGACTTCCGGAAGTACCGCGACGTCGCCCTCTGACGAAGACTGCCGCGACGAACTGTGAACATAGTGCGTGCCATCGTGATTTCATAAAAAATAGTGACTAACAAAAATCCCCCTTGCAAGGAGAAACTCAAATAAAACGGAGTTTTGCTATTAGGTCGTGATTGCTCAAATGTAGGAAGGGACGAAAGTGAGACAGGAATCACATTGTCAAACAGTTTCCAATGACGAATTTTGTTATTTATTTATTTTACAAAGTAACTAATAAGCTGAGTCTTCCACCCCCGTGTCGCCCCAAACCGTACCAGAATTATAGATTGATTTCAACCAGTGTTAATTGTTTGGTACACTGCAAATGAATTATGAAGCCGTAGGGCTTGGCTAGTCAGACATGCCATTCTTAGATTATGTACTTAGATTTTACGGAAAATATTACAATCCATTGTAAATGAGCTTTTTATAAATAAATTTTAACGACAGTACACAGTAGAAAAATGTTTCATTCCTTCATTTTTTTTACCCCGAATGATACTACCGAAGCACTCTTATGCAACACGTCGGACTTTTCACCCGATGGACGAAGTCTCACGCAAAAACCCAAACTCGTCAGACTTTGCATCCGATACCCATGTCGACACCTGAACAGAAGACCCGGCTATCTTTTCAGAGCGATTTGAGAACCGGCTACCTTTTCAGAGCGATCCGAGAATCGGCTATCTTTTCAAAGCGACCTGAGAACCGGCTATCTTTTACGAGCGATCCGAGAACCGGCTATCTTTTCAGAGCGGTCCGAGAACCGGCTAACTGACTTTTTATAAGAAATTGAGTTTCTTACATTAAAATAATCCGCATCACCTGTTCTATCGATTAATGTAAGAAACTCAATTTCTTAAAAAAAAGTCAGTTAGCCGGTTCTTGGACCGCTCTGAAAAGATAGCCGGTTCTCGGATCGCTCGTAAAAGATTGCCGGTTCTCAGGTCGCTTTGAAAAGATAGCCGATTCTCGGATCGCTCTGAAAAGGTAGCCGGTGTCGGCGTGTAAGTGTACCCCCCCGACCCAGAGTACCCCCGGGTACACAACGCCTAGGGCCAAAGTACCCTGGGGTACATAACGACTAGGTTCAATGTACCCAGGGGTACAATTCGCCTAGGTGCCAGGCGAATTGTACCCCGGGTACAATGCGGCTAGGCGAAATGTACCCCGGGGTACATTTTGCCTAGGCTTATTGTATCCCCCGCCGGCCGGAGGAGGATGCACGTCGCCTAGGCGCAATGCATCCCCCCCGGATAAAAAGAGCCTAGGCGAGGAGTATCCCCTCGGCCGGCCGGAGGGGGATACAAAAAGCCTAGGCGCAATGCATCCCCCCCCCCGGATACAAAAATCGAAAAAAAAAGAAGAAAAAAGGGGGGCCCTTCTCCCACCTCCGAGATCGGAGGGCCGCCTGCAACTTCGGTGGATCGGGGGAACCGGTGCTTTACAGGCGGCGACCCCAGGGGTTCTCGTCTGTATATGGGCCGGGCTTGAAGGGCGGGTTTGACAGTCTCTCTCTGCCTTGAGAGCCTTTGCTTTTCGCGGGGTGGTCTGTACCAAATGTACACCCGCTGTCCGGCGCTCTCTACCAAACATACAGCTTGTTTAAGGGCCAGCTTCAAAGGACTTATCATCTCCTCCCGACGAATCAGGAGGACCCACCCGCGACCAATTACGGGTGGCTGGATTGACGGATCAAATACTCCGTCGCTCCAGTGCCGAGGCCAACCCGCCGAAGCGCAGCTGCTTTTTAGACACCCCAGCGGAGTGGCCAGGTGAATGTGACTCTGACCACTACGCTATCAAGCTTGTACGTCTGGCGTCGTGTTGGACGACGGGTTTGAGTTGCAGTGGAAGGAAGCCAGTCGAAAAATGTAATGAAATGATGGGAGTCGATCCCAGGACTCTACTGCCGGGCCGCACGACTTTTGCCGCTCGCCCACCACGGCCCATGACGAATGGAGCGGCGTGAGGCGGGCTCTTGACGCGACAGGAATGGACCGACCCGGTCAAAATTTCACAAGAAGTTTGGGGAGTCGAACCGCCGACCTCAGCACGGAGAAGCGACGCCTCTACTCCCTAGACCACCACAGCACATGCAGTTTGTTGGCTGAAGTCACGGTTTTCAACCACACTGGGCGAGGCAGTAAAATTAAATGTTAATGTCCCTACAGGAATCGAACCCCCGACGTGGTGGGACTACGCACTACGCGGCTCCGCTCTGATGGCCTCAAACCTTTCCACAAAAGGAAGGAAATCGAAAAAAAAATTTGAGATGCCGGTATTCGAACACCGCACTGTGCAAATGCGATCGAACGTCTGTAACATTTGCGGTGTTCAAATACCGGCATCTCAAAATTTTTTTTCGATTTCCTTTCTTTTGTGGAACGGTTTGAGGCCATCAGAGCGGAGCCGTGTAGAACTTTAACAATTATTTTTACTGCCTCGCCCAGTGTGGTTTAAAACCGTGACTTCAGCCAACAAACTGCATGTGCTGTGGTGGTCTAGGGAGTAGAGGCGTCGCTTCTCCGTGCTGAGGTCGGCGGTTCGACTCTCCAAACTTCTTGTGAAATTTTGACCGGGTCGGTCCATTCCTGTCGCGTCAAGAGCCCGCCTCACGCCGCTCCATTTGTCATGGGCCGTGGTGGGCGAGCGGCAAAGTCGTGCGGTCCCGGCAGTAGGGTCCTGGGATCGACTCCCATCATTTCATTACATTTTTCGACTGGCTTCCTTCCACTGCAACTCAAACCTGTCGTCCAACACGACGCCAGACGTACAAGCTTGATAGCGTAGTGGTCAGAGTCACATCCACCTGGCCACTCCGCTGGGGTGTCTAAAAAGCAACTGCGCTTCGGCGGGTTGGCCTCGGCACTGGAGCGACGGAGTATTCGATCCGTCAATCCAGCCACCCGTAATTGGTCGCGGGTGGGTCCTCCTTGATTCGTCGGGAGGAGATGATAAGTCCTTTGAAGCTGGCCCTTAAACAAGCTGTATGTTTGGTAGAGAGCGCCGGACAGCGGGTGTACATTTGGTACAGACCACCCCGCGAAAAGCAAAGGCTCTCAAGGCAGAGAGAGACTGTCAAACCCGCCCTTCAAGCCCGGCCCATATACAGACGAGAACCCCTGGGGTCGCCGCCTGTAAAGCACCGGTTCCCCCGATCCACCGAAGTTGCAGGCGGCCCTCCGACCTGTGTGCGGAGGTGGGAGAAGGGCCCCCCTTTTTTCTTCTTTTTTTCTCGATTTTTGTATCCGGGGGGGATGCATTGCGCCTAGGCTTTTTGTATCCCCCTCCGGCCGGCCGAGGGGATACTCCTCGCCTAGGCTCTTTGTATCCGGGGGGGATGCATTGCGCCTAGGCGACGTGCATCCTCCTCCGGCCGGCGGGGGATACAATAAGCCTAGGCAAAATGTACCCCGGGGTACATTTCGCCTAGCCGCATTGTACCCGGGGTACAATTCGCCTGGCACCTAGGCGAATTGTACCCCTGGGTACATTGAACCTAGTCGTCATGTACCCCAGGGTTCTATGGCCCTAGGCGTTGTGCACCCGGGGGTACTCTGCGCCGACGGGTACAGTTCGCCTCCTACACCGGTTCTCAAATCGCTCTGAAAAGATAGCCGGGTCTTCTGTTCAGGTGTCGATGTGAAGTAGGCGCGCCCCACGCAAGAACGCACGAAAATATAACAACCAGTCCATTGTAGACGGTTAGTAGACGATTGTAGACATAGTAGTATAACCTAGAATAAAAAAGAAAAAACAAGAGAGAAGAAAGAAGTTTGGAGCTGTAGCTTCCCTGTGAAGTTAGCGCGCCCCACTTTCATGAGGAGGTCACAACAACATTACTCTGAGAGTCATTTTGTTAGTAGAGAATTGTAGACTACAAATTAGGTGTGCCTATGCCGTTGAAAAAACTCCAGGGTCTTGGATGACTACTGGGGCACGCCACCTTCCTAATCCCCTCAAAAAAGAAGTTCATCAAGGTCACTTCCACCCAAGAATACTTGTCTTCGATAGTAGATGATTGTCCACCATAAATAAAAGGATTATAAATTTGCCACCTCACCGTCCCTTGCACTTGGGTTACAACTGGGGCTTGCCAACTGCCAATTTCATAAAAAAAGTTAATCAATGTAACTTTCATCTAACAATACTTGTCTCGGTTAGTAGATGATTGTAGACTATAAAAAAGATTATTAATTTGTCACCTCACGGGCTTGCCAACTTCCAATTTCTACATAAAACAAGTTTAAACAGGTGACTTACATCTCAGAATACTTGTCGCGAATAGTAGATAATTGTAGAGTAAAAAAAAGCTGTTAAATTTGGCACCTAACAGTCCTGTAGAGTTGGGGTTACAACTAGGGCTTGCCAACTTCCAACTACCAGTAAGCAGAACAAAACCAAGGTCCCTTCCACCTTCAAACACTTGTGGTGATAAGTAGACGATTGTAGAATCAGGCCCTGACTGGCCCGGACCGCGGGGGCGCGAAACTCTCGCGGGCAATCGCGGGGCCTGATGGGCTGCCTGCCTTCCCGGCGCTGCGGCGGTAGGTGGGTTGGGTTGCCTGCCGTCCCGGGGCGGCTTGGCCTGGGGCTCGGCGGCCACAGCTAGGCACGCGCGTCCCGCAGCAGTGGCGCCAGGCACGACGTTCAGGTTGGCTGGGGCCACGGAGTCCTGGAAAACATCAATCCAGGACTTCAGATCGTGGGACCGAAGCTCACAGTCATGAAAAATTAAAACAAAGGCAGAAACTGCCAACTCCCCAATAATATGTTTCGCCCTGTCGTGGTGTGGTTCAAGCATCCCGTCGCTTTTCTAGTGGGGATCGAGACGGGTTCTAGCATCCGCCTCTTCCAGCCCTCCACCCTCGTGAGTCATATCACAACAAAGCGACATAGGAGGCCAGCCGGGCAGCCTGGTTCGTATCTTGACGCAGCCACTTGAGGATTCTGGCGTGCTGGCGATAACGTCGATACTGACGTGCAGCTGGGCGCAAGGAACGGCAGTCGCGTCGCACCTGCACACCGTCAGAGCGTCCGCGTCACCAGCATGGCCGCGGCGCTGGCGTTGTTGGCCCTCCTGGCCGCCTCGGCGGTCGCGGACCCGCTCGGGGCCGTCGCCGTCGACAACAAGAGCCCCCTGGGCTTCGACCTGAACGAACTGCTGGCCAAGTTGCTGGCTGCCTACGACCCCTTCCATGTCGCACGGCAGCAGTTCGACGTGGACTTGAAGGAGATCAGGTGAGTGCTATCCCGAGACGAACACAAGGCGCCTCGACGGCCTGGCCTTCCTTCGCGTGGCGCGTGACGACCTGGTGCCTGCTGCAGAGCCAAGGGCTACGCCGACAACATCGTCATCACGGGGGTCTCGGGGCTGAGGCTGCTCAAGGTGGCACTGAACGAGCTTGGCGCCGGCAAGGCGGAGGTGAGCCTCCACTTGCCCGCCATCAACGTCGTCGGCGACTACGAGGTGACGGGTGCCGTCCTGCAGCCCCTCCAAGTGCCTCTGGATAGCGCGGGAAAATTCACGTAAGCGCCACTCACTGTCTGCATTATGGTTACGTAGGTGTCGAAGGTGGAGGGCAGTGTTGGGGCGATAGTTTAATCCCAACTAATCTCTCATAATCGGTGAACACCTGGAAGCGGACTGTCCTCTCGTTCACGGCGGCTTTGACACTTCATTTCAGATTCGGAGTCACCGAGCTGGAAGTCGATGCCTCGGTAGAACTGGGCATCTCGGACGAGGGCCAAATCCTGCTAAAGGATTTCAAGCTGCCCTACTGGAACCTGACCGAGATCGAGGTGCCTTGTGAACCTGGAACACAACGTAGAAATACACCGCCGTGTAGAAGTGGATCAATATTGTATTGTTTTTGCAGCTGAACCTGGAGGGTCTGCTTAGCGGCTACGCCCTGGGCCAAATGATCAACGACATCCTGCACGACACGCTCACCCACATCGTCACCAAGGTAACGGCACGGCGTTGCTCGCACTGTGAGAGCCAGCGCCGCGGAGGTAGGCAGCTTATCGTGCAGCGTCGCGCGCAGGCTGGCCCACTCCTCCGGCGCTCGCCGTGGAGATAGGCCGCTTGTCGTACCGCCGCGCGCGCAGGCTGGCCAACCCTCACGGCGCTCTCCCGCGCTCTCTCTCGGAGGCCATCCCGCGGGCTGCCGCTGCTGCCACGCCGTTCTAACCTTCCAAACGCCACGCTACACTTCTCAGTCCATGGTCTCTCGTCGTTCCTCAGGCCTACCACGACAAGCTCACCACGCTCGTCACCACGAACGTCGTCACAGAGGGCGGCAAGTACCTGGCCAGCCTGCACCGAGACCACGGCCACCCCGCCTTCCAGAGTGGTGGTCCGCAGCGCGTCGAGGCCGCCGTCGTGCCGCAGCCTGCCCGGACCAGCAGCAGTGCGGACCGGGAGCTGTCCTCGAAGTCCGCCACGTGGACGGGGCGGACGGACTTGCTGTCCCTGGTGGGCTTGGACACCGAGGCGCTCGGCGTCAGCGGCATGTTCACCCTTGACCTCGCTGCACCTCAGCTATACCCGCACGGAACACTGCTGTCCGCGGACAGCGACGAACCAGCCGCCCGGGGCGTGTTGGCAATGGGCCCCTCGGACATCCGGGAGGCCGCCGTCGACGACCTGTTCGGCGTACAACTCGCCCCCGCCCAGTTCTACCGCCACGGCGAGCTGTCCTCGGGCAGCGAAAGCGCGCCGGCGGGGAGCTATGGCGTCCAAATCCTGGAGGGGATGCAGGGGCTCCTGTCCGGGCACGGCGTCAAGTTTGAGCCCGCCAAGTTCTACGAGAGAGGCTACCTGTCCAGGAACCAGGACGCGGACTAGGCTGACTTGAAGGCTGACGTCGATGTCGGAGAGCGAGTGCAATTCCAGCTCCAGCCTCTGAAAACACACACTGTTGACACGACACAGCAATAAAGACCATCGGGACGGACTGGAGGCTCCGACTGCCAACTCCCGAGCCAACTCCGAATGCAGCCCGCGCCTTATTCGCAGCGCGGTGCGCGGCGCTGTGCCGAGAGTGAAAGTGCAGCGCTCCAGCGCGCTCTAGTCTCGCCACTTCCAGTGCCCCAGCGGCTCCAGCCTCCCAGCCTCCGCCGCCAGCTAGACCTAGCGAGACTAGCCGCGCCCTGTAGCGTCATTTTCAAAAGCACCTTTATTGTCTTTATAAAAACTAGAGCAAAATAACAACAACAAAACGAGCTTACGTACTCAGTCAGTTTTTGACCTACCTCTTCGTAAACCATTTCAACCAATTTTGCGGTGCCTCTGCTCACGTTTAATGAAAATCTCGAATTTCGAGTCTTGCAGCCTCTTCCCAAACGGGTTTTTCAAATCATACACCAGAGTCAGGGCACGAAACAAAAAGATCTAAAGACCACCCACGCTTTTAGGAGCAGCGATTTACAACAAGCTGCGCGTTTCTCTTCTATTTTTCTTTTCATTATTTCTGCTGGGTTGGTGAACTGAGAGTTAGGTCATCTGAGGAGCACCCCCTTCGCTAAGCCTCTTTTTAAAGACGTGGGCTGCGTGTCTGCCAGGCTACCTGTCTGCCAATACCCCTTTCCCCGGCACGGCTGGCACGGCTGGCACGGCAACAAGGGGGGTGAACGACTCGTAATGTCAAAGTTTGTGACGTCACTGCGTCCGCCATCCACGACGCGCCGCCAAGCCGGCGGAACGCAGCGGGCCATCGCTCACGGCTTTGGCAGTGGTGGTGCTGGGGTGTGGACAGGTTGGGGCGGCGATATCTTGCAGTGCAGGTGTAGTTCCGCATGGAACATTAGGGCGGTTCGCTGAGCGAAGATGCGGACTTGACCACAGCGGCGCGCTCGAAGCGTGAGCCGGAGTCCGATGAAGCCCTTGCTGTCGACGCGGCGGCATGGCCAGCCTACGCCACCCCGCGAGCAGGCGGCGCCGCCCCAACCCCGCGGCACCGCGACGCCGGCGCGACGCCCTCGGCGAGTGCGCGCCAAAGATTCGGCTGCGCGTTCGGGCGTCCTTCGGCCCCTCTCGGCTAGGACTCGGTCCCCTTCGGATCCCTTCGGGCCACTTCGGCGGCCGGCGCTGCGCGGCGTTCGGCTCGGCTCGGGGGTCCGCGCTGCGCGCCCCGCGCCCCGCGCCCCGCTCGCGCCCCCGCCCCCCCGCGCGGAGGGAAGGCAACGAACGGCAGGGAAGGCTGGCCGCGGTGCCCAGGCCGCGGTGCCCAGGCCCCAGGCTGTGCCTTCCACTGTCCGTCCGCCGCTCCGCGCTACTCCGCGTCCTGCCGCATGGCGCCGCTACGCCCTCGGCTGTGCCGCCTCGCCGCCACGTCCGCCGCGCCGGTGCCGCGATAGCACTGCCGCCCCGTGCTGCTCGACGTGCCGCCGGTCCTGCCCCGCCGGGCCCCGCCGCGCCAGTGTAGTGGTGCAGTGTCAACGTGTTGCGGTGCCCCGAGTCCGCCCGGGCCGCCTTCACCGCGATCGCCGCGTTCCGCGTCCTCGCCATGCAGTGCGTCCGCCCGCACCCCGCCGGTGCCGGTTTTTGTGCCCAGTGATCGTGCAAAGTGTCGTTTGTGCCGCCGGCGAGCAGGCGGGGCACGGAAGCGTTCCGTGACTTGGTGACGGAGAGTGACAGGTGCTTCGAGTGATTCAGTGACACCAGCGGTTTTTATTGTGTGTTGGATACCCTCCCCGAGCAAGCCGCCGCGAGCTAGCCGGCGTTGCACCGACACATCAGGTGAGTCTGGCAGCACCGCGTCATCCCGGGTGCCCCTGTCAATCCATTCCAGTGCGGTGCATCGGCACCACACTGGACGGCCCGCGCGCCTCGCCGCCTCGGCTGGACGTTGCCTGGATTCGCCGCGGACGCGCCGCGCTTTCAAACTTTGACCGATTAGTGGTGATTTCTGGAAATAAGAAAAAGCAGCCGAGATGCATCGGCCGCCTCGCCGCGTCCACCGAGCGGCGGCGTCGGCCCGATTTCGGTATCTTTGAGTTGAATAACCTCTCAATATCTGTTGCGCATGATCTTCGTTTTGTCCAAATACGCGGGGCGAGGACTGGGCCGGGTGGGGGGAAGGGGGGGGGGGCATTGAGACAGATAGTGCTCCGCCACTGGCTCGGTGGTGGCGGTGCCCTACGCCCCTGCCTACAATCCCGGCTGGCGGGCCGCGGCGGGCCGAGGCGGGCCTCCCTGCACTATCAGGGCGGGCTTCTCCTCCTCGAACGCGTCCACGTGCAGGGCGCGGCTGGCGCGGCCAGCGCCTCGACGCCTCGCGCCTCGACAAACAGAATTCCAGGCGCGATAAGGGTTCCGTGACGCCCCGAGCGCGCCGAGCGCACCACGCCGACGGCCTGCAGCACCACGTCCAGGAACGGCCGGAGACGGCCACCAAAGGGGCCCCTCGAGAAGCAGCATGGTCAAACAACGGCTGTCGCGTCGTTTTATCCGCAGGGGCAGGACCTTCACGACGACATGCACGCGGTTATTATCACCTAAGGAAGAATTTTTACCTTCTGTATAAAGAAAAAAATTTATATATAACACCATATACAAACCATGGTGTGTTTGTACAAAGATTTATGCTTAAGTTGCAAAGAATTTTCTTTATCAGCTAATGTATGCTCGAAATTCGCCAAACATACAATTTTATTCGCAAAGGCATAAAAAAGTTTGTAAGATTTCGAGCGGACGATTATGAGCAGGTGGCCCACGGGACGGGTGACTAATCCACCAGGTGCGGAACTATTTCCAGCCTTGCAAAGGAAATCGGTTTTTCATAACAAAAAGCATTTTGAGCTTGCAGAAGCTTAAAAGGAAAACAATAACAAATTTACAAATTAAGTAATTCACCGCATAAGGAGCCAAATTGTGTGTCCCCCTGCATATGCTCAAAGTACTTGGTACGGTTTAAAGCGTGGGAGCGCTGATGATGAAGATGTTGATGGTGGTGGTTGCGTCGTCTTGCGTCGTCGCGTCGCGTTCCCGCTGCTCTCCCGACATCTCGGTGCCGGACAAAGGGTGCAGATCAAACGCGGGCTGCCCATAGCGCCACCCTGCCAGAGCCCCGCACCCCACTCCCCCCACCACTCCCCATCCTCCCCTCCCGTGGGCTTCTTACCGGGCCGACAAACATGAATCAGAGCCTGGCCCTACTTTTAAAGCGCTTCAAAGTTATTTTGTTTTTTTCCCGTGGACTTGGTCTTTCGGTACGTAGTCTTACTTGACACCCAGAACCCCAAGCCGCCCCCGCCCGCTCTCCCTCCCGTCTTCCGCGTTGCGTGGCCCGCCCAATGCTGCCTACCCCCGCCCCTCCCCCGCGATGGTTGTCCACTTGATTCGCTTGGCGATGCTTGGCGCTCGGTGTCGCGACCTTTGGGGGACGCCCCGCCACGCCCCGCCGCGCCCCGCCGCGCCCCGCCACCACGCGGACTGCCACTACCACACTGCTTACAGAGGGAGGTCGATGCCCTGGCCGTGCCCCCACCCCCATCCCCACCCCCTTTCGCGAGGCTGGCGGGAAGGGCGGCCCGCTGCGCCGCGCTGCCCCGCGGTGGGACAAGATGATAGCCCGGCCACTTCAAGGTCCCACCCCTTCCGCCACCTTCTCCAGCGGCGGCGGGTTCGAACCCCGGCGGCGGCGAGGCGGTGACTCCCGGCGCCGTCATCCCGGCTGTCACCGGCTACACTTTTATCAGCGCGACCGACTGGCCACTCGCAACATGAGGCAATATTTGCTATCAGTCGCTGGCAACGTGTATTCAAATGGGCAAAACAAGGATGGGTCGCGTCACGCATCCAGGCAGGCTGGCAGGCAGGTGCCGGCCTGCACTATCGGGCCTTGCCCTCGCCTAGCGCGACGCAGCGCAACGCCAATTTGGCGCGTGGAGCCGAGAGCCTGGCGGCCGGGACGCGCCGCGCCGCCCAAGGATTCCAATTTAAGGAACCGCTCCGCCCGCCGGCCCGGCCGACTTGGGGGCCAACTTGCGCTTGTAGGGATTCATTGGGATTCATTGGGCCAGGGCGTTACCGCGGCACGGACCACCACGGCCCAGCTTCCGCATTCGCACGAGGCTCTGGTACCGCGCGGGGCCCTGACGGCCTGGCGGGGCCCTGGCGGGGCCGCGGGTGGGGAGGGGAGAGGGGGTCGCTGCTGACGCAGGTCCCGCTGGTGGTGACGGGTCCATGCCGAGTCCTTTCCTATCCGCCACCGCGCCACCCGCGCCGTCGCGTCCCGCCACGTCCCGCCTCCTGGTGGCGCTGGCTGTGGCGGCGCGAGGCGCGAGGTGGCCGTCGAGGCCGTGTCTCTGGCTGGGGCTTTACGTTGCCGTGATTTAGAACGTGGGGTGCGGGCGGGGCCGAGGCCGGAGTCGTGTAACCATCGTCCTGTCCCCTAGAGCTGGGCGAGGGGCTGGGCCATGTGTGTCGGCTTGATGAGCCATTAGGAAAGGGAAGGCGAAGGGGCGATATTCTCAGGAGAGCAGCGGCCCGCGAGTACAGTACCGCGAGCAGCGACTAGCGAGCACTGGCGGGCGCGGCGTGCGGCGCGACTCGCGGACCTGCCCCGGCTCGGCTCGGCTCGGCTCGGCTCGGCTCGGCTCGGCTCGGCTCGGCTCGGCTCGGCTCGGCTCGGCTCGGCTCGCTCCGCCGCGGGCCTCGGCTTGGCGCGCCGTTCGGGCGGCTCGGCTCGGCTCTTGCTTGGGACGAGCCGGCCCGGGGTCGACGAACTGCCTGCTCGTATATAGGTCAGGATTCTATACTAGAGCGCCTCTAGCAGTCTAGCAGTTGTGCCCGCGCCGCGCGGCCCAGCGCGGCCCGCCCCGGTCGCGGCAGGGCGGGGTGAGGCGGGGCGGGGCGGGGCGGGGCGGGACTCTCGCGTGCCCTCTGCGCTCTTGACGCCACAGCGTATCTTTGACGGACAGAGCCCGACGGCGACGCAGTCCTCTTCAAGACCCGTCCGATTTTGGGCGCGGGCAGTGTGCAGGGGCGGAGCCAGGAGGGGCCGGCCTTTCGCCTACACTTTGCAGGCGTCGCGCCGCGTCGCGCAGTGCTTCACGATGTCAAACCACCAACCCGGAAACTAATCGGGGCCGTCCTACGCCGCTGGCCCTGCCCGCCCTGCCCCTTCCCCGCCGCTTTGTAGACGTAGGCCCGGCAAGCCCGGCCCGGCCCGGCCGGCCCACGCCCCGTAGACCCGTAGAGGCCGCGGTCGCGTTATATCTCAAC